ACAGCTCTGAATTATGCAGTGAAGGAAACACAAGCTGTTCCCATTAGAGTACGAGTGAGATTTTCCTCTGGTGTCACTCACCCAGCCCTTGTTGTTGAGCAGCCAGTCGTGCTGTTCTGAGATCAGATAAGAGGAGATCTGCTGGGCCACCGTCTCCACGCACCGCTCCCTCTGCAGCTCCTTCATCTGGGAGCACACCACGGCTCCGAAGGCCACCAGACTCACGATCCGGCCCCAGTTGGTGGTGTCGTCTCTGAACATCGTCTTTGCTATACAGCCGATGAAGCTCAAGTCGTCCGGCTGAGAGTCCAGCTGCAGATGCTGCAGCATCCCTGCAGAAAAGCCCAAACACTTCAGCAACTCCACCCACAGCACCGACTCATTCTGCTTTACGATCCGCCGCATCAGAAACCTCCCGCACAGATCCTGACGTCTAATGCAGACATTCACTCCCCGCCACTTTTCTGATTAATTCATGCTCAAAACAACAGACGGTAACAAGTAATGAGGAGAAACTACATAAAACAGTGATTCACTCAAATTACAGATTTATAAAATAACGATTCTTCGTATTCGACAATAGTAGAGATTTTGAACAGAGGGTTACTGAAGGTTTAATGACTAAATACGATTTTTAATTTATTTTATTTTTTTCTTAGATATTTTAATCAACGTGGGGAACTGCGCGAACTCTCATGAAACAAGAGAGAGATTTAAAATTTGAGCTGTTGAAATTGTAGACTTTCGCAATCGGCTTGCTTACATTCCGCGCATTCTGTAGTCGTGCGTTAAACCCGATTTCGTTCCACCCACCGCTTTCGAAATAGTTTCGCTATCCAAACCCAGTCTATTTAATTCAAACCCAGTCTATAGGGGCTCTGCGCAACAGACTTCCGGTTCCGGTGCAAGCGTTTTGCATATGCTTCGTTAAATATGAAGCAGTTTTACTCAAGACGCCTTCAGAGTAGATACAAAAATCATCATAACCAACGTCCATCACAGATAGCTTGTATTTTCACTAACATTCCGATATTTCGGAATGTTAATGATAAGCATTTCCGGGTTTGGTCAGGTGACCCTATTCTCGTGTTGCAGTTCGAAGAATCGCAATGAACTTCGCGGTTTGACCAAATAAAAAATAAAAAATACTGAGAAAAAAAACCTGACCGAGAAACAAACCACAAGTCACTTAAGGTCAAATAGCTACATAAATAAATAAATAAATAAATAAAACGAAATCAAACTTAATCGAAATTATTTTTTTTTATTTTTGTAGCGTTGGCTAATATTAAAAACACATGGAAAGGAAAGATGTACTGTAGAGCACCAATATTTACGGATTATTATTATTATTATTATTATTAGTCGATTAACTGACAGCAAACGACTCGTCTGAATTAAGAGTGTCGCGAATGCGCATGCGCCTTACCTCTGTAAGTGATCTGGTGCTTTATGACGACGTCCGCGACGACGCGTTTCATTGTCGGTAACGCGTGATGACGCTTCCGGTCCGGGAGACTCATTCCGGTGTGCGTGCGATAGAAATCCAACAGAAGCTGCCGCGTGTCGGAACCGAGCTCCTGCGGGTCCGGGGTGGCCGGTAGAGAGCCGTCTCCCGCGGACACGAACCGTCCGTCCAGCTGCAGGCCTTTCAGGCCGTTGGTCCCGGGCCTCAGCGGCTTCAGCGCGGCGTCCGCTTCCTCCGCGAGGACACCCAACGCAGCCATCGGTCTATTCCCCAAACTCAGAGTCATATTTCCGATCACGACGCGAAAGAAAGCGATATATGTAAAAAAAAAAAACTTAAAATAGAGTTGAAGGTTAAAGCGTAGTCTGTGAAGGAGATAGTGCTCGTGTTGGTCGACACTCTTGTTTGGAGAGCGAAGCGGAAGTAGCTGCGACGCTGAACGCTTTTATAGAGTCCCCGCGTCATGGCGTGTTCCATAACTCCTCCCCTTAAAGCCTTATATGGGCTTCCTACTAGCCTTTTCCCGGGAATTACTTCATTTGTTCCCTTCGAGTTATTTCGAACTGGCTGTGGCTGGAATAAACCCATCAAGATGATAAATAACGCTTTATATACGTCAAACTGCCATAAAATGGAGCTGAAACGAGTGAAATACCGGCCTAATCCAATAGCTAATTAGTTAGTATGTCAAAACGTTAAACCGATACTAACAACCCTCTTGATTCACGGTAAAACCGCTTTACATACACTTGAACTGAACAATGTGGGTCAAGCTGAGGTCAGACTGACATTTAACAAGCTGTGCTATTAACAGCAAGCCAGAGAGACCATGCTTCATTTAAGAAATTTTAATGGTATATATATATATATGCATTACAAGTAACGCAGATTACTTTTTTTTCAATTTTTCAAGTAACTAGTGAGGTAATGCATTACTTTCAAATTTACAACAAAATATTTTTCAAATAAGTAACACAAGTTACTTTGTTTCCCCATTTATTGACTGCTGAGAGAAACTGGGAGAGTCTTAACTTTACTTTTCCTGTGAAAGTATGGAATGCCACACCTGACAAAATTAGAAATAAATAAATATATAAATTAATACACAAAGAAATGTAAAAATAAATACATGTAAAAAATAATATCTTTATTTTATATTCGTTAACGATTGTTTCAAGTGAAGCAAATGTTAATATGGTTTTGATTTTGGTTTCAGTTTTAGTTGACTATAATAACCCTGTCGCAAATAAAACTTCTCAATTTGATTAACACTCACACACTCTCACTCACTCCCTCACACACACTCACGCACGCACACTCACACACACTCTCACTCACTCACACACACACACACACACACACACACACACACACACACACACACACACACAC